GGTCCTAAAGACCCACATCAACAGATGTACAGAGCAGCTACCGGCTGCACCAGGTGCAAACAAACGAGGCTGCAGCAAACACAGATTTTCTGTTCGACAAACGCAGCAGCTTTTAATCTGTTTCCTGCCAGCGCTGAGCGCAGCGTTGTAGCCTGCTACTACGTGTTTACAGACACAGCAGACTGAAATGTCCTTGGCTGCTACAAGGAGCCACTTTTGGTCTGTGGTGTCAGTTTACCAACGCAGTCTGGGATCGGTGGGGGTTATCCATGTTGACAGGAGTAAAGACAACTCAACAGCACCCCTCTAGTCCCAGCACCAACAGTCCCTCACAAGAAACGGTTCTGTTTCTAAATTACAACTATAATCAGAGTCCAGAGCACTACAGCAGGACGTGTACACACTGTGATATCAGACCAGTACACAAGACTTTCACAAGGTTAAAGAGTTAACTTATATCTACTCATATTCATGTAATTAAGTCCTTTAATGATTTGACCAATTAATCGATTATTAAAATAATTGTTAGTTGCAGCCCTAGGTTTTATAATTACTGCTACAGGTGATTAAAAACACACAACTGTCCAAAGATCACGTCTGTACGTCATCCTTTTATTACCTTTAGTTTTTATCCAGTGTTGCTATTTTAGCATTCAGCTAGTGTTTTGCTACTTTGAGCTAGTCTGTAGCTGTTAACTTTTAACTTGACTTTAACTCATTTTAGTTTTATTGTTTATAGCTTTTATTAAGCCTGTTGTTATAGTTTATCTATCCTATTGCTATGTTTAGGTAGTGTTTTAGAGCACGCTCCACATCTCGTAACGTTCAGTTTCTGTAGCTGTCTGAAGAAGTCAGCAGACTGCGCCCAATCATTATTATTTATTATTATAGACTATTATTTTTTATTAAAGACTTTTTCTATCATTTGCTTTAAAATTAGGAGCAGCTCCAAAACGAAGCTTTAAAACATGGTCAGGATGTTAGAGGAGCTCCTGTTTACAGTCTCCGATTATAAAGCTGTAATAATAATAATAATAATAATAATAATAATAATAATAATAACAACAACAACAACAACAGCAGCTCTTTCCCCTGTTGGAAGATGACACAAGTGTTTCTACAAAGCTCTGTAACCTGATACAGCCTTTCCAACAAGGTCCCATTAGCAACAACCAGGGGCGCCCATGGGAGTTGAGGATGCAGTGTCCCCCGCCCCACCGACGCCCCGCCGGAGACCATCACGCCAGCCTCCCATTGGAGGAGACGCAGTCGGCCCAGAGCAGGAGACGGCCTTCTATTGGTGCGAGCGAGCGAGCGCCGTGGCAGGATGTGGGAAGACCGGAGAGGTCACAGAGGGATCGATGGAGGCCCTCCTCAGGAAGAAGCAGATATAAGAGCTCCAAAATACCAATGAACATGTTAAACTGGAAACCAGTGAAGAGATCACTGTMATGTAACAAAACACAAAGATCATTAAAAACAATCATCTTAATGTTTAACAGACGTCATTTTGATGAGTTTCTAATAAATACTTCTTCTCAGTAAAAATACACATTAGCTGATACATATTAGGWACAAGTATTAGCAGCGGTGGGCACAGGAACGCTAGTCCGCTAATCCACTAGCTTCTCATTTAGCAGATTAGCTTTTGTGCTAACGTTTGGAAGCTTCAACTAAATTGTCTTCTGCTAAATATTACTAAAATATTTACAAGTGTAAAAATTTAACATTTTATGTGGTTTATCCTGAATTAAAAACAAAAACCATCCCCTCTTACAAGTGATGCTGCTAGGCACCGTGTAGCATGTAGCACCTTTAGCAGCTAACCCTCAAGAGCGTCAGAAAAAACAAACAAGAAAAAAGGTAACATTTTAAAATATTTAAATAATTACAAGCATTAACTACATATATTATATAGTAGAAGTTTTTTTTACTAACTTAGACCGGTATTTATAAAAACAACTATTATGATTAGCGTTAGCATCCTGATTTTAGCATTAGCAAAGCTAAGGTTCTTCTTCTTCAGATTAATGGTTGGTGAAGCTAACTCAGGTTAGCTGTGCCCACTTATCATACCTGACAGCATGATGACGTATCCTCACATCCTGAACCACACCTGGTACCAGTGTCACCTGGTAAACTGCTAAAACTTCTACAGGAAGCGCAGATTGACCAGAAATATGCTGAGAAAGAAACGCATGACGTAACATCAGTCTGCGCATGCGCAGTGCCACAAGGTAGCGCAGACCGTCAGAACACCTGTTTGCCAGGTAGGAAGTCACCAAATATGGTACTGTTGCTGTAAATGGATTACATGTTAATCCAGATTATCATGAGTGTCGGTGCAGCTGAGGTGGGCATAACAACAAGTTGTGTGGAGAAAAACACACAAACTATTGTACATCATATTTGATTTTTTTGTTTTTTACTGTTGATTGTTTTGAATGTAACAATCTGATATCTGGCAACACTGAAAAATGTGAAAAGACTCGAGGTTTAATGGGGGTTTGATAGGAGAATATAATTTAAAATTTATGAGTTTTAAAACTCCCAAATAAACACTAAAGTTAATTATTCAGCTAACAGAAGCTAGCCCTGCTCGGTCTTAATTCAGGTGATTTATAATGTAATAATTTATGATTTATAATTTGACTGTTTAGTTTGTGTTTACAAGAATTCAACCAGAACCAAATGAAACCTGTAAAATACCAGTTTCCTCTCACTAACCAGTAAAAACACCTTAGTGGGAGATGTAGATAAATCTTTACACTGAGGTTAATCTGTTCTTCAGACACTTCAGCTTCTATTGACTGATAAACAATCATGTTTTTATATTTTACAAACCAATATTAGCTGGTCTCTGGGCTGCTGCTCGTAAAACAGCTCAATATTGGTTTATAAAAAACAAACTGTAGTTTACCACACTAGAGTTAATTTATTTTTCTGTTAAAGCACTGAACAAAGGCAGCTTCAGTTTGCTATAATTAGCCAGAGATGGTACAGATAGCTGTGGATTTGTTCTTTCTTTATAAAACCAGTTTATGCTGAAGGTTTGATGGCTTTAATACAATGTCAGAGTTTCATTTTTACCTTTAACACATTACAACTTTCTGGATAAAGAGGGCAAATAGTTTGTGACAGGACGACAAAAGGCAGCGGAACAGAGTTTTTTCAACATAATCCTGAGGTGAAACGATGTGACGTCTGTTAGATACTTCATTACAAATATGTTCTTCTGAACAAAAAGCCAGGGATTTACCTACAAGATTCATTTCCAGAGGGCGAAACGCATAAACGGACCACCCTATGCTTTCTGCAAAGCACTTTAAGGTGTCTGATTCATATTTTACTCCACAAACAGCACTTTTAATGTCCTTTATTACACAGAGAAGCATCTGACGGCAGCGGGGTGGGGTGCGTTGCCTGAGGAGACTTTAGCAAACAGGGGCTGAGGATTAAACCCCTAATCCTCAGATTAAAAGGAGACCTCTCCATGAACGGGCCAAACCTCTGATCATGGACAAGATGAGGCACGTAGCAATARTATGTTTAATTTACAGCTAAACTTACATATGCCAAGAAGTCAGTTTAAAGGGTCATGTATTAAAACAGTCTTGTTACATTAGAGGTGTAACACATCAATACACAACGTGACGAATAAATGAGTCACTTACATCGAGGGAAAATAAAAACAACCATCCATATCCTCACTAAAATATCCTTAGATGGGCATATCGTCTCGTATCCATCTCAGAGTTGTGAATTGAAATTGTATCATGTCAGACCTCACGATAAAATCATATACAGTGATATATTGTGTTGTGATAAAGCTGGTGAAAGCCTTGTGTATAATTTACAGCTAAACTTACACATAAAGTGTCAGAGTTATGAAGGGATCATGTTATATTAGGGGTGTAATAATACATCGATCCATTGATTAAACAATTCAATCACATCGAGATACAACAGATCCACAATATGGATCCATGTTTTCATGCATCCAACTAATCAAATCCTTTAACGGATATAACGATAGTTACAACCCTAAAATCCAAAAACTCAAACTATGAGTCAAAAGAGATTTAATAAATAAAACGAGATGATTATTTAGAGCCATGAAACAGCTGAAAGAAGATTTAAAGGATCCATGATTAGTTGTAACATTAGACTTTATTTAATAAACATTTATTTTAACTGTGAAATAAACACTGTAAAAATACTGTAGGATGTTTAGTTTTTATAATATTTAAAAATATATTTTAACACTGACGGAGCCATTTTATTTCCACACAAAGCATTCTGGGTAAATGATGACGTGGATAGGTCCTCGGTGCGAGGCTGRTAGCGAGCTATATCCACCCTGAAGGTTAATCTTGGACAATATCTGATGATCGACTCTTTTAAATGAAACCAGAGAGCGTTGACAGAGAGGAGAAGGTAGAAATGACTCAGCCTGGAACTGAAAATATGGATGGAGGACAACAGAGCTGCTTCATGGAAGAACAACCTCAGATTAGCCTGTTAGCTTCAGTGTTAGCGCCGACACTATGTTGCCTTATATGTATTAGCTCGGTGCTAGCGCGACAAACAAGCTAACCTGTTGTCCTCCATCTATATTTTCAGTTCCAGGCTGAGTCATTTCTACCTTCTCCTCTCTGTCAACGCTCTCTGGTTTCATTTAAAAGAGTCGATCATCAGATATTGTCCAAGATTAACCTTCAGGGTGGATATAGCTCGCTAGCAGCCTCGCACCGAGGACCTATCCACGTCATCATTTACCCAGAATGCTTTGTGTGCAAATAAAAAGGCCCTGTCCGTTTAATGTTTTTAAAATTTTAGGTTAAAAATTATAAAAACTGAACATCCTACAGTATTTTTAGTCATTTTACAGTTAAAATATGTTTATTAAAGTCTAAGGTTACAACTAATCATGGATCCCTTTAAATTAACCGTTCGTCCACTCAGTCACCATATTCAGACTCAGCCTTTAACACCAGCAGTGATGCATCTTAAACTCTTTATTTCGCTGTGTCCCATTTACAGAAATACAGAAGTGTTCCTTAAACAACAGGGGGGGTAAAACTGTCATTTGAGGTGGTAACTTATTAAAACATGGATCCCTTTCGTTAAAGCCTTTCAACCAAACCTGAAACAAAACTCGCGTCCATTTTTCACCCTTTTTTTAAATTTTCTTTGAAAGATCCACGTCAGAACACTGAAAACTGCTACGGTTCTTCCTGGCGGCGTTTTGGTTTGAGAAAAAAGAGGCGGGGTGGAGATGATCCGAGTGTTTTTAATCCGGTGCACAAAAACACCACAATACACCGTACGATGATTGACAGAATTACTTTCCTTAATCAACAAACCAACAGCAACAATGAAAACAAAATGAGCAATAACATAAATAATATCATAATTACATTAAGGCACCTGAAATAAAAGGGTCTCTGATGGGTTTAAAAATGGTTTTAAGCCTTTAAAGCTAATATTGGCAGCTTTAAGCTTTTTATTCTTAGTTTATTAGACAAAAATCATCAATTATGAACATGAAAATAGTTTAAGAAGCTACAAAAAGAAGTTTGGAATTTAAAATTTTTTGGTACAATTTAGCTTTTATTTTCTTAAATTCAAACAAAAAACCATTTTTAAACCCTTCATAAAACCCTCCTGAAAGGTGGTACCTCGCTGTAAAGGTTCTCAGCTGTGGGATAATAAGTGTTATAAAACCTGCTTATTCTGACTGACATAAATAAAAAGGAATGACATTGTAAAAAAATAAAATAAAAATAATATTAATAACAATAAAAATGTGACTCGTATTTAAGTTACTTATCTCAAATATACACAGAGACTCCTTTTCTTTTAGTATTTACAGTTTATGTACAGAGTAGTCATTTCTGGGTTTTGTTTGTGTTTTTTTGATCAAATACCTTGAACGGCGGCGGCGCTGCTGCGACTCTAAACGTAGACGAGTCGGGGGAACGAGGTCAAACGGGGCAGCACGACTCGAGCCACAACGCGGCTCTTTGAAAAGGCACTTGCTACCAACTCAAATACTGCAAAAAACTCTGAAACACAGCTTTCAGCCGAGACAACGGGAGAAAACAGAAAGAAAAACAATGGAAGGCCACGTAGTAGGCACTGGGGTTCTGTCCCCTCCCCTCCAGGCTCAGGTAAGGCTTGAGCTCCACAGCCACAGGTGGAGCAGTGGGCGAAGGCTGGGCCTGCTTCTCCTCAGAACCCTTCCTTTGACTGTTTTAATGTGTAGACCCCCCCACAGACACTGAACAAACAAATCATAATAGTCTGTAAACAATCTTTATACAGCGTTTTCCTCTCCTCTTTCTAAGTAAATAAACCAAGTGTTTCAAAACAAAAACTGCAAATCTTTTGCTTTCTGAAGAAAAATAAAGTTTTTTTCTTCCAAAGAAAATAAACTGAAGATCAGAAGTGAAACTAAGAAGTTCACTGCCCCCAGTGACGATTAAACCAACCAAAGAAGGGCTTAATAAAAACAAAAAGCCTCTTTTTCCATTTCAGCTGAAGGTAAGAGTGGCTGTCTCGCAGCTTCCTGCTCTCTTCAGTCTTTTTATACGCAGTGGTCTCTCAGCTCTTTCTGGCAGCTAAAGACGGAACTGACGTTTTTCCAGCGGTTGTCTTTGGGGCTGTAGGTCCGGTGCGGTGCTCTGAGGGGGGAGCTGGAGCTGTGCAGGGTGCAGATCACCCCCCCACCGGACTGCACCGCAGTCTTTGAGTATTTATAAACTAGCTGCTTTCCCGCCTCGCCACCGCCYCCGCACTCCTCCAGCTCCAGCTCGCCCTCCGTCTCCTCCTCCTCCTCCTCCTCAGCGTCGTCACACGTCCGACAGGAGGAGCCCATGAGCTTTTTGCGCTCCTGCTCGGCCTCCCTGTTGTTCTCCTTCAGCTGCTGCAGCGGTGGCGGCTGCTCGCGCCCCACCACCAGCCGCAGCGGCTCCCAGTGGTTGTTGACGTTGTCGTCGGCGGCCGCCCGCAAGGTCCTCTCGCGCTCTTTTCTCCGTTTGCGRGTCCACCAGACGCACACGATGATGCAGAAGAGGCACAGCAAGCAGAAGACGGCGCACAGAAGAGGCACCAGGTAGTCTGTGGGAGAAGAGAGAGGAAGTGGTGAGAAGTTCCTGGGACCGACAACACACCCCTGAGGTACACCTTTTTTAAAAACCATCACTTACGCACTGACGGAGGCATGACCTGCGTTTCCACTTTGACCTCAATGACCGCCAACATCACCGTGTTGTTGTGCCTCTTCGATAAGGTCCCCACGATGGCGCCGGCGGCCTCCTGGATCAGACTGTGGTCCGGCAAGTTCTCAGGCTGGAACGACTTGGATCAGAGACAGAAAGCAAGGAAGGAAGTCAGACAAGAGGTGAACACGACATTCCAGATCCTCCAGAACAAGCTGACACAACACTGACACCTTAGATCTGGTGGCGTTGCATCATTCCCTGCAGTAATGGGTTTTACTCCAACCACTGATTATCTTTTCATCAGAGAAAGTAAAGTGCATAGTTTCACGCCCACTGGAGACYGTCTCTGCCTTCTGATTAAAAAGTTGTGCGGGGTTCAAAACTGGTTTTGCAAACAAGGTATGCAAACAGTACGTATTGGTGGAATCTGTAACCAAAACAATGAGCAGAATAATGACTTACTAAATGCTGGAATTTCAGACCAACACCAGCTTTGACAAATGGGCTTTTGGCCTCTAACAGATGGGGTACCTCCGCACTTTTCTTAGCACTTGTGTGTTGTAAACGACTCTCAGCTACTACCGCATCAAATTTTAACTCGATATCTGTAAAACTGAGTTGATAACAGCCATTTGTGTGTTTTAGGTAGGGCTAAACAATATATCGCAAATTTATTGTTATCGTGATAACAGCCAGTGCAATCTGCATATCACAAAAAATGCATGAATTGCACTAAATGATTGGTTCTAATGTTTGCATTTATGAGGTTTGTCAGCATCAGTCGACGTGGARGAAATGGATCAGAGGAACAACAAATCTTAATCACTCCATRATGTTGTAATGGAAATTATTTATTAGTTGWTTTTTGCTCTGAACCCAGAGCAGAAAAACATCAACACTGTATACTTTAGTGTTTTTTGATTTGTCACAAGTCATATCATCATCARATTATTAAGCACTGTTATCACTCATCACAGGTTTTCTTGACATCATGCAGCCCTAGTTTTAGGTCCGTTTAAGGTCAGTTAACCACAACAGACCTGTTGAGTCGAGTTGCTCCACATGTCAAACTCCAGGTTAGTGTTAGTCCATGTGGCTCAGCTCTAGTGTTGCCCACCACAACAGTTTGTGGCCCGCATGAGCTTCAAAATGTTTTAAAGTCTTAAGAAGCTGCTTTAAAGCCAGCCCTGACCATAAACTACAGCTCCCATAATGCACCTTGGCTGAATGCACCACTAGCTTATGAGAATCAGTGTAATCAGTGATCAGAGCTCAGACAGACACTGGTGAGGTGCACAGGGAGGGACTTACGATGGCCACCTCCACAGCGTCCTGGTTGGAGTGGGACAGCTCACAGAGCAGGAGGAGGGCGTGGTCTTTGGCCAACCTTCTGGTGTCGGGGACATAGCGCAGTTCGAAGCAGATATCCTCCACCGTGGTGCCCTGAGTGACAGACAGACTCATCAGTCAATGAGATTCATTTAAACCAGCAGCAGGGACCAGCAGGACCCACCGGAGGCACTTTGTCCCGGTTAAAAACCAGGGTGATGCGACCACAGCTGTTGTCCAAGTGGCTGTTGTTTGGCTGGCACTTGGTGGTCATTTGAGGAGGTAGAGGTCCAGCCATGGAACAAACCCCCCACTGACCACAGGGGGGGGAGAAGCAGGTGTAGAAGCTGTGCTCCTGACACTCCTGTCCAGCTGGGCAGGACTTCAGTCTCGGTTCCTGCTCTGATGCTGGGAGCTGGCAGGGACGGCGACCACACAGCACCTGGGTCAGAACATTTTTATTTGAGTTCATCCAGTCAGAGTTCCTCAGGTGTATCAGCTGGACAGGTTACCTTTGTGCAGCTCACTCTGCCGTTGAGGCAGTGGCAGTTGTTGCACTCCTCCTCCCAATGACCGCCATGAGGAAACTGCAGACCGGTGTAGTGGCACGGCTTTCCAACCCCGATGACTGAACACACACACACACACACACACACACACACACGTCACGTTGACTTCCTGTAACAGGTTCAGTGACTTCTATCTAAGGGTTAGAGGTTAGTGTTAGGCTGAAGTGTCCTTACACTCTTGGCATCGTGCTCCTGATCTGCCCATGGGGCAGATGCAGCGGAAGCCGTTGATCTGGTCCACACAGGTGGCTCCGTAGGCACAGGGAGAGGACTGACACTCGTTTATATCTGTGGAGAGAAGAAACCATGTGTTCAACTCACAACTTCTGCCACACACTGAGCTTACCTGTAAACACACACACAGGTAAACTGCAGGTCAACTAAAGGCCTACTGGACACGCCCACCTTCAGTTCCAGAAGGAGACCACCGTGACACGGAAATAAAGATGTGTTTTCTTTTTCTCTGTGTATCCTGTCAGCCAGCTGACCTGGTCAACATGACACTTTGGATAAAGTTCTCCCAGGAGACCTCCAGTTTCATCTTCCAGTTGGTCCAGGGCTGGACAGTCCTGGTCCTGCATGTTTTACATGTTTCCTGCTCCAACACACCTGATTCAGACACTGAACTACCTCTTCATGTTCTGCAGTATGGAGGACTGACACTGACATAATTAGAAATAAAATCAGAAATATATAAATGCAACAATAAATACAATTAAAATGTGCCAATTAAATTACAAAAGGAGCTTCGCCTCACATTTTAACATTTAATTTACCTTTATATTTATTTTCCAGCTTAATTCCAACAAATTATATATATTTTTGCACATAATTAACATTTTAATGTTTTTTATCTATATATATACTT